GAAGAATAATGCCAAAGTTGCAGAGCCTGAAGAAGCTGTGATGGAAAGGGGCCTGGACCTGCATGGAATAAATGAAGAGGCAAGACCTTGATGGAGTGGAAGGGAGTGACAGATGCTGACAGTTTGTGGGAGCCAAAGAATAATGCATATCATCCAGAATAATTCTTAATTCTCTAGCCAATGTTAAAGGGAAAGTTGATACCAAAAGGAAGTGTTTACCTGACAGTGAATCAGGCGCTGACAAATACAGGGAGAAAAGAGGCGTTGCTGACAAAGCAAGAGGCTGTTGCAGAGGTCCAGGTGCTCAGGGAGTGAGGGGAGCACGGACAGCGGTGAGAAGTGATAATCTCACATGCAGAAGGGCTCGGAGGCAGGATTGGCGCCAGCAGGTGGAAATGAGGTGTGCTCAGATTAGAACTGCCTCTCAGGAAGAGGGACGACTTGGCATCCTTGTCCGGAAGAGGACGCTCAGTAACTGTGTGTGTGTGTGTGTGTGTGAGAGAGAGAGAGAGACAGACAGACAGACAGACAGACAGACAGACAGACAGACAGAGACAGAAACAGAGATCTGATATCTTAGTTTTTGAATTGCTAGTGCAAAATAGCTACATTCTAATGGAAATCAGGTTTGATAAATGGGTTTTGAAAGTATTAACAGTTGCTGGGATTTCTTTTGGTTTTGTATCAAGTGGCACTCTACTTTTCCATAGAGGACAGCTTTCGGGAGCTGTCCCTTACCAGACAATACCTGACATCCAGGTTTCGCTTATCTTCACTGGAGAACAGATTTTTCTCCGTGTTGGGAAGTTGTCTAGCCATTACTCAATAAGAACTTATTTTTAACTAGTATGAGAAAGGACCTGCTGTGTTTTTTGTTCATGTGTGTCTACATAAAATATCTATATAAGTAGCTTTTATTCTTAAATATCCACTGAGACAAAACCTTGCCCATGCTCCTAGATTCCATCTCTCTAGCTAAGCCAGGAGAGCACTTCAGGTTCAGTTCCAGAAGTACCTAAAGTGTAAACTTTCAGATTCCATGGTTGATTCGGCCGTTACCCAGGCAGTGACTCAGTAACAGCCGTATCAGATTTCATATCTATGCCATCACAATATTTATTACAAAATTCCTTAAAGACATGATTTTACCACTACCAACAACTCCCCACCCACACAAGGGAGCCACAGAGATCCCAGGATAATAAACTAAGCCAGGCTTAAGCGGATTTTTGAAGGTTCCTCCAGGGAAGCACTCCTATACACAGAGTTGAAATCTGTGTGCTGAATAGCTGACATCTAAGACTTGCGTGCTTAGATGAACTGCCAAATGAGGGCCCACCAGCATAAGCAGGGGAACAAAATTTTTCATTGCTGTTACTGATCTGCGTGTTTTTCCTTTGCCCTGACTCATTCTATCATGGGAACCTTGCTCTGGTCTCTCTGCAGATGTCTGGTCTTTGTGACTTCCATTGGAATAATTCAGACAAGACACACAGTGTGGGTGACAGGCAGGAGAGAGGAGAGCATGTGCTGGGGAGTGAGAAAGGATGGTGTCCAGAGAGAAAGTGCCCTGGTCTGCACTTTCAGAAGCCTCTGTGGTAGTATTTCTAAAGTCTCTGGAGCAAACACCTTTCCCTAAGACCTCACAGTCCAAACACCTAGCAGCCTGTTCCGTTTGGCTTTAGGGGTCGGGGGTGGGGTATGTCCTAAGTCTTTATCAGAAAGCTGCCTACTTTGTAGTGATTTTATAAACTTTGGGACTTCAGGAATCAGGCTTAGATGTTTATCTATTCATAGCCTTCGAGGCAGGCTGAGGATGTAATGTCTCCTCTTGGAGCCAGAGCTTCAATGCGTGTCCCCCGCTTTTCTCCCATCAGACTCCCGAGTCCTGCAGTTCCAGTTGTAGAAGCTGTTATGAGATATGGGTCCAGCGCTGACACCCTCTAACCAGGTAACTTCTAACTGTCTTCCTGACAGTCCTCTCTATTTAAACCTAAGCTTTCCGGCAATGGGTTAGCAGTTCAGCGGGAGCTAGGAAAATAATTCTGTATTAATCAGAATGTTGTCTAGCTGTACATTGCTTACTTAACTGTAAATAATGAAAGAGTGGTCAATAAATAGTTTCATACCCATGTTAGCTCCACCCTGCAAGTTAGCCTCTGTCTCTAATAATGCATATTTATCTTGTCCCCTCCCATCTGCTAACTTTTTAAACCGCAGTCCCCCGGTCTGGGGACACCCCTGAAGATGATGTGCTGTGAAAGTTTCCATTATGCCAGCACAGACTTGTTGGCTGTTTGTCACAGCCTGTGCACTAAGACTGTTGTGATCATAAGTTTGGCTATCTTATAGGCATGCACTCTTATGTAAAGTTCATTGGATAAATGAGATCATTTGCGGATCAGAGTTTATTTATATATTCGGTTAGCTTTGGAGACGGGGTCTCACTATGTGGCCCAAATTGGCCTTGAACTCTCAGTGCTCCTACCTCAGACTCATAAGTTCTGGGGACAAACATGCGCTGTCATGGCCGGCCAACCACTTTAAGGATGCTGTTCACAGAAAGAAGAATGGGATCTGTGGCAGCTATGGGGTTAGAAATCACAGCTACACACCCATCTCTTTCAAAAATTCCAGCACATTCCCAAGGCTTGAGGAGACAGATCTGATGACAAAAGCCTCCCTTTCTTGTTCCTACTGTCTTTCCAGGTTGCTCAGTTGTAAACAGACACACGGTTGTTAGGTAAGGGACCCTTCTGGGGGTGAGCTGGGACTTGTGGTTGCTGGCTTGGTGTGCTAGAACTGCTGAAACAGCCCCGCAGACGAAGAGGGTCAAACAACCACCATACATGGTCTCTTGGTGCTGGAAGCCAACAGCACGGAATCAGTAGTTCCTAGGGCTGTTCCTACAGAGGGAAGATGGTTCTCCAGTCTGCAGCCTTTGGGTGCCTGTGGCGCGCCCCTCCCTCCCAACCCCTCCTCCTGCATTTTCACATCTTTCTCCTTCTGTGCATGCCTGTCTGTGCAAGCTTCCCTGTTCGGGTATACTGGCTTAGGGGCTACCCCCACAGTTCACCTCAGTTTGATTGCCCCTTTAGAATTACGACTCTGGGTAAGTTTGCATTCTGTGGCACTTGGAATTGGGTCTCAGCAACAGGAATTTTTAAAGAGTTCAAACACTAAAGTTGCCTACACCAAGAATGATTCCTGTTGCTAGGGTACCAGAGCTACATGATGTGTGCCTGACACCTCATGTGTGCTGGCATGTTGGGAGGGAAGAGCATTCATCTGAACTCTGGGATTGCCAGTGGGAGGGTAGGAAGAAATGCATTGCGTAGGAACACCTTAGACACTATGAAGGAATAAATGGCCTCCTCCATCCCCGGCACTTAATTATTGTACACCCCTCTCCTGGGAAACTCATGCAGTGCCGCAGGGGGAAAAAAAATACATGGGTGATCAGGTCCTGAATTACTTCTTGGGGTCAAGCATCCTAAACAGGATGCACTGATGATATTTCATCACAATAGCAAACAGAAGGGACAAATGGCCCCACATGGCCTAAATCTGCTTCTTCTGTATCGGTGCCTGGTGGAGAGTGTGCGGTGGCTGCCTCAGACCACAGAGTCACGCCCAAGGCCAGCAAGTGCCCAGTGTAAATAAGCCCATCCCAGCTCTCTGCCCTCACGGTCACACCCTTTTGCTGGATAGTTTAATGTCATTTGAGAAGAGGGAACCTCAACTAAGAAAGTGCCTCCATAAGATCGGGCTCTAGACATGTCTGTAGGGTATTTTCTTAATTAACGATTGATCAGGGAGAGCCCAGTTCATTGTGGGTAGGGCCATACCTGGGCTGGTGGTCCTGGATTGTACAAGAAAGCAGGCTGAGCAAGCCATGGGGAACAAGCCGGTAAGCAGCATCCTCCATGGCCTCTGCATCAGCTCCTGCCTCCAGGTTCCTGCCCTGTTTGAGTTCCTGTCCTGACTTTTGGTCACAGCATTTCATCATAGCAACAGTCACCCTAAGACATTCTTATCGTCTCTGCCATTTAGAGACCAGATGTTTTCCACACACTGCACCATACGGGCATTGGAACTGGGCCTAAGGTTTGTTTCCTCTGCTACTCCAAACCTGATACAGACAGCTGCAGGGAGCTGAACTATACCATAAGTAGAGCATCCCTGGTGCTCAGTTAGACTCCCCATCCCCCACCCCCACTGCCCCAACAGATCCTGGGAAGAAAGGGTAACCCAGTGTCCTAGTAGTAGTCACTTGGCTTTTAGGGGAACAGACAACTAGTGATGTCTCCGCCATTCCCAGAGGGGTACCTCTGGCCAGCTCACCAGAAGGAAGGGCTCTGATTGCCTCATCTTTTTATGCTCACACCTCCCATCCTCACTTCCTGAGAGGCCTACATCCGGTTGTGGTGGCCATATTGTTGGGGTTGTCGTGCCTCGGCTCAGCTGAAGGCATCTCTTGCCTGCTAACCATGCCTGGCCCACTAGTGTCAGCAGATCACCCTCCAACCCTTCCATAAGCAGTCACATGGGGTCCTTCCCCATGTACTAACCAACAACAGTCAAACTTGCATCCCCTGTAACAGCCGAAAGCCAGGAGGCTTCCATGCCCTCCACGCTGTAGCGTACCCCTCCCCCCATACAATTCCTCTGGACGGTACAGCTCCATACAGTTTGTCCTGGTCACTACCAGGCGTACAGCCGCTCCACCTCTGACGCCACTGGCTATGTAACCTTCCTACCTTGTCCCCAACACTTGGCAGGTTGCCCCGGCTCTACCCCCAAGCTCTCAGTCCTAGCCCTCTGGCCACAGTGTCACACTACTCCAGAAACCCTGTCCCATCACTACCTGACAGCCCCAGTAATGTGGTCCCGCCCCTGGCCTCTCCCTTGCACTGAAGCCCCGCCCCCATCGCGTCCCTGGCAGCCTCCAAGCCCCTCCCTGGCCCCGCCCCTCTCCTCCCTCTGCTAGACCCGCTCACCTGGCTCTCCCGGCTGAAGTAGCTGAGTTCCTTGGGGTCCTGGCGCCGCGGCGGGATGTAGCTGAAAGCTGGCATAGCTGAGATGGGCAGAAGTCGGGGTTTGCCCCGCAGTGTGGAGGCAGAGATTTCTTCTTCCTCCTCCTCTTCCCCCCTTTCCTCCCTTTCTTTCACGTCGCGGGGTTCCATGGCCCGCTACTCAGTCTTGGCCGGTCCCTCTGCCTAGGTAGTCCAGGCCTCAAACATCAGTTTGTGGGGTTTCTGCGTCGCTCAGGGCGTCTGTGCTCAGCCGTTGCCTGGCAACTGCGCCTTGACCTCAGCATCCGTTGAGTGACGAGACTGCGTTCCTTGCCACCTCCTTCTAGGTCCTTCTCGCCACACCCCCGGAGAGACCTACCAGCGGTTGTGTCTGACTTTCCAGGTAGGAGACACCTAAGGAATCACACCCATTCTGCTATATCTGCTTTCACAGCTCAGTTTGTTCCAAGACCCCTGGCACCTCTCAGCTTTGCAGATCACGATAGAAAGCTTCTATGCATCAGGATCCGATAGTACAGCCCTGAAACAAACAACCCTGGGTCACAGGGAGATTGACAAGGGTGAGAAGGCTGCAGAGGTTCAGGACAGCGCGATGCAGCAGAAACGTGAGGGTCACATGTGTGACTCGCATAACGGAAGGCTAAAGGCACAGAGGAGTGGGCGACACACATGTGCCTCAACATGCCTGCCACGGTAGCTGCATTTCACAAGCGGGCTGGGCCAGTAACAGGAGCAGGAGAGAATGATTGTCCGTGGGATTTAAAGCAGCTCTGACCCCTCTCCCTCTTCAGCTACAGGAATCCCGCTTCCTCTTTTCCCCTGGTCTCCCCTGGCAGATTGCCTGACTGAAGCATGAGTCAGGGAAAAGGCCAGGAACTTTCCCACCATGAGCCAAAGTCTCAAGGGATTTAGCCATGCTGGGAACCACTTAGCGAGGTGGACCTCTCCCTGGAGATACATGAAGAAGAAGAAGGGACCGTGTCCCTTCTCCCATGAGCACAAGTTGTGAAAGCACACCTGACAATATTTCTGTCCCCATGAAAATATTAGCAAAATAAAACAATAATAAAAACCCTCTGTAAGCTACTCCCAACCTTTCCCACCACTCTCAGCCTTTCCAAAAAACAGCAAGAGGGTCCAGGAGGGGCACAGGAGACTTTTTGACACACCTTGTATGGATTGTAAGGGACACAAGCGGGAAGGTGGAGGTGACTGATACCAATTTTGGTGACAACTCAGCTCCAGCATAGCCCTGGCTGAACAAATCCTATTAGTCAAAAATTCTATTCACAGCCATTTAGATTTCACTCCGCTAGCTGCAAGTTCAGTAGGTGACATTTTGTTGTTAGTAAAAGAACACTTCACTAATAACGCCTTAGGTAAACATGCTGACTAGTTATCTTTAACTGTTAGTGCCACATAGCCTGGAGTCACCTGAGAAAGACTGGCCTGCCAGCATGTGTGTGCGAGATCATCTTGATTGTTCACTGATGGGCAGATCTAGCCTATTGTACGTGAACAGTTACCTGAGAAGCTGGCCCTGGACTGTGTGTCTTGTTACAGCTATGCATGAATCTGCAAGCAAGCTAGCAAGCAGCAGTCCCTCTCTGATTTCTACTTTGAGCTCCTGCCCTGAACTCCCTCAGGGATGCACTGTGGCCTGGAAGTGTAGACCAAATAAAGCCTCCCCTCCCCTAAGCGGCTTTGTCCAGAGTGTTTTATCACAGCAACAGAGAGGAACTAGCATGCATGGGAAGGACGGTTTTATTCAGGGCTGCGACTGTTGATGCAGGGACTACTGCAGCGGGGTCTTTCAGCCTGAGAGTGAGATGAGGCTCAACTCCAAATCCAGTCAACATGGGCAAGTGAGACCTTGGAACCAAGGGGTGACGTTGATGTTGTGCATGCAAATCTACTAAGTGGAAAGTAAAGGGGAAATCTGGCTAAACTGACCTAGCAGAATGCCTGCTGAACACAAACCAGAGATCAGGTATCCCCCGGAGGATTGTGGGAAAGGGTGACCAAATGTAGGATGGAGGCAGGGGTGGGGGGTCTTGCTACACTGACTTTGGGTTCTTTGGTTAAAACTAAACTGTGCTAAGAAAAAACACAGCGGCCTGAGGAGGTGATGTGTAAGACAGAAAGCAACTATTCACCTCAGATTGTGGACCAAAATAACAAGTACACCAAAGCACAACTTGGAGAATAACTTGAGTTTGTTGGGGTTATTTAAAGGTGTTTATACAGAAATGGGTGACCTACAGAGGTAGAGACGACTAAAGACACCACCAAAAAGTCCATCCCAACACATGTGACAACTCACAAAACTCAAACTCTGGAGAATTCCATGTGATTTAGACAACCCCACCAGTTAGTGATCCTTCTCCAGGCATCTCAGCTTACTTTTTTCTCCCCCTGCAGCTTTCCACTGCTTCTATAACCTCGGGGAGATGCCCTGTTTATCTCGTTAGTTTCAGGAACTTTGTGAGACTTGTGAGTTGTTGGCTTCCTGAGTTCAGGAGCATTTCCCCTTCTTTTCTGGAGGGAATATTTCAACTTAGAACTTCCAGATCTTAAAGAGACCCCCTCAAGAATGGAATGTTTGAACCACAGGAAATTGCTAAACAATCGGAGAAGATTTCGAATTCTGGCCAAAGTTGACCAAGCAACAGTTTTGTGGTTTTTGTTTTTCTTTTTGTTTTTAACTAAACTGAAAGCTCTTGAGGGTGAGGCTACTCTCATCTTTTTTTTTTAATTCATGGATGGTTCAGTAGATACTCAGCAAGTATTTGATGTTTTTGATTAAGCTTGAGTTTCTTCTATAAAACAATCTAACCAGGCATTGGATGCTCAGGAGTTATTTTGGAGTGTGTGGCCAGGAGGACTGAGAATCAGGAGAGGCCATACATCAGCCCCAGGTGTTGGGCAGGGACCTGGGAATTGCGAATCCCATAACACTGAGGTTGGCATTTGAAATGCAAGCTGATAGGATCCACATCACCACTGCAAGCATGGAGAGCGTGGCCATGCCCAGAGAGCATGGCCATGCATGTAATCAACATAGACATGGGCTGTACCTGCTCCCATCTTTCTGTGGAATGAACCAGCAGCAGCAAGGTGGGGCTGTGAGAGGTAGATAGAACAGCAGCAAGACAAACAGAACTTTCAACTCTTGCGGTCTTAATTCCTTTAAAAAATAATGTGTGTGACCCCACTATGTGTCTCAGGGACCTGAACGGAATTCTAGGGAAAGCAAACAAGTTCAATGTGTCTATGTGTTTAAGTCCTTCACATCTTAACTTGCAAAGCCCCATGCCAGGAAGTGGGGGGTCATGAAGACCCTCCTCTAAAAGGAAGTTACTAGAATAGACACAAACACACAGGGATCGGATCAGCCTTATTTCACATGCCAATCTCAGAGTCACCAGATGTGCCATTTCTGGGTCCCATCCCAACAGCACGGACTTTCCTCTCAGAGCTGCCACTGGTATCTCGTTTTATATACCCGTCTTGCTAAGGGCTGTCATTCTGTACTTCCTTTTACACTGCTCCGGTGACGTAGAAACTGTGCATACTAATAGCTGTGTGCCCAGCACCGAAGTGCTATGTACCAGGATCCTGCTGTCTGCTTGCCTCCAAAGAGAGGGTCTGTGAATTCAGAGAAACAGGCAGGTCAAGGGAGGCCAAGGGATGGGGCCCACAGAGCTGTAGAAAGCCTGTGCTGTTTCTCTTGAGAGACTTGGTTAGCCGCCTTCCTGCTAACCCAAGACAGGGGCGGGAGAAACGAGAGGAGACTGCTGTCTGGTCGTGTTAGCTGTAACTTCGGCACATCTCGAGCGGCATACACTCTGTATTATGCTGAAATCACATACACCCTCACTAAGGCTAGGAAAACCCATCCAGCTCATTAGATTGATGACCAAACCGAGATGTGGGGAAGCTACATAACTAGGCACAGATAATTATTCTGTTTTAAAATAGCAACATAAACTCATTTAAGTGGCCCAATGTAATTGGACTTTAATTCACAGCATCTAACATATCAAAGTTAATTGGAATAAGCATGCCTCTGCATTTGGTATGCTTAGGGTCTTAAGGAATGGGCTTACATGCACTCATGTTTGTGGTTCAGAGAAGGGCTGCCCAGCTGTGTTTCCCTGCAAATTAAAAGGCGTCATCAAGTCACGTATACAGACATAATAGCATGTTCACACTGATCTCTAAGTCTGTGCCCAGGCCATGGAAAAAATGAGGACCAACGAGAAGAGAGCCGTTGTCCACCCAAACCATCCTAACTAAATCAGAACATGGGTCAGGGTTCATGGTCAGGCTGAACAAGCTTTTACCTAACTGGATTCCCTGTCCTCAACTTAAAAAAAAAGTCAGTGGTGTAAAAGCATGAGGGTCACTGGCTTTTACAGTTAGCTGAGTCACTGAACTGATCAAGTTCTTTGGTAACTTAAGCATCACACTTGTTTCTGCTTTATAGACAAATACAAGGTAATCAAGAGGAATGATAGAATTAGAAACCTGTTTTAAAAAAATATTTTTGGGCAACAGATCACCAGACTATGGATCTAAGCCACAGTCAGGAAAAGGTTAGTGGAAAGGGAGGAGAGAGACAGAGACAGAGACAGACAGACAGACACAGAGACAGAGAGAGGTGAGAATTGACTAAAACTAACCTTATACTAAACTCTGGGTATCACTCAGCGGGAATTACAGCAGATGTAGGGGCAGGTTAAATGACAGTAAATCAACAATGTTGGCCATTCTATAGGGTTACTGATTAATTTCTCTAATAAATTAACACTCTGAAAGCCATAGTCATCAAAGACATAAGTGCTTCATAGCTACAAATAATGTAAGGACTTTGCATCCTGATTCAAGCACAACAAAGCATGCTGACAGCACAAGAACCATGATATTGTCCTGATATGAAACTGTAGAAAGTAATTATTAATTCTGTTAGTTGAAATAGTGGCTGAATGGTTAGGAAAATGGCTATAAATGTGTGCTGAAGTATTTAGGGCAAAATGATACAATAGCTTGGTTTTTCTAGAAGCACTCCAATAAAAAAAGATGGAACATGACTGAAAAATTATGGTAATTTGTCATGCTGAATAAAGGGACTCATGGATCCATTACACAATTGTTTCAGCCCTTATACGTGTTCAAAATTTTTTCATAGTAGCAGTTAAAAACAGTGGGGTTACCAAGAGATATTGTTTCTTGCAAACGCAGAACCCAAAATATCAGTTCAGCCCACAGACCGTTGTTTGTTATGTGCCAGAGACTGTGGGAACCATTGGGAAGAGGTGTTTGTTTCTGAGAGATAAGATTCCACGTGTATACAGGCAAAGTTTCTTTTGATGAACCCCCAACAGCCAAAGAACATCTCATAAAGTTAGATTTTTCTGACTGGGGGAGCTAGGGAAGCTACACACTGGAGAAAGTATAGTCGTTCGCCATGCGAGGAATAGACAGAGTTCTTGTGGGATCCGGGAAAAGGTGGCAGGCCGTAAAAACCAGTGAGGCTGGGCTGTGGAGACTCAAGCAGAACAATGTGTGAGTGAACACTTAGCCTCCTGAGACGATGCTACCTCTGTGAAAGGTTCTACCCTAATCTTCCTAGTTCAGTCTCTGGTCAGAAAACTGAGGCTACTTCTCTGTCAGAGTGACCCATGTAGCTCAGATCCTGCAGGTCACAGAGGGATGTCCCTGCAGGTCCCAGAGGGATGCCCCTGCAGGTCATAGAGGGATGTCCCCGCAGGTCACAGAGAGATGTCCCTGCAGGTCACAGAGGGATGTCCCTGCAGGTCAGAAGGATGTCCTTGCAGGTCCCAGAGGGATGTCCCTGCAGGTCACAGAGGGATGTCCCTGCAAGTCACAGAGGGATGTCCCTGCAGGTCACAGAGGGATGTCCCTGCAGGTCATAGGGGGATGTCCCTGCAGATCACAGAGGGATGTCCCTGCAGGTCACAGAGGGATGTCCCTGCAGGTCATAGAGGGATGTCCCTGCAGGTCCCAGAGGGATGTGTCTGCAGGTCCCAGAGGGATGTCCCTGCAGGTCCCAGAGGGATGTCCTTGCAGGTCCCAGAGGGATGTCCCTGCAGGTCCCAGAGGGATGTCCCTGCAGGTCACAGAGGGATGTCCCTGCAGGTCACAAAGGGATGTCCCTGCAGGTCACAGAGGGATGTCCCTGCAGGTCACAGAGGGATGTCCCTGCAGGTCATAGAGGCATGTCCCTGCAGGTCACAGAGGGATGTCCCTGCAGGTCACAGAGGGATATCCCTGCAGGTCAGAGGGATGCTCCACGTGGCTCAGCTCCTGCAGGTCACTGAAGAATGTTCCATTCCACCCATCTGGTTTCAAATAGCACAGGATTTTGTGTCCTCAGCGCTAAGCACAGAGGCAGTTATCAGAGGTTTATAGTGGTACCCTGCATGTCATAAGCAGCAAGCGGTTGGGTTCCCCCATTAAAGCACATTCCTTCGCGAACCCTCACTATTGGCTGTATAAAACAGCTGATCTGAGAAAGGTGGCGTGTATACCACAACGAAATAGCACCCAATATTCACTGAGCACTTACCACTTTCTAGGTGCTGGGCTACAGCACACGTGCACGCCACCACCTGTTGACCCCACATCAATCTGATGAATCCCAGTTTGGGAAAATCTCAGCCTTTGTTTACTAA